GGGTCAGGCAGTTTCAGCTGGTACAGGGCTCAGGCAGGTCTCGGGCACACCTCCGCAAACGAAAACAGCATCGAGAAGATGCCCGAGATGAGCTGAGCAACCATGTACGCCGTCGCCGCTGCTTGCAACTTCTCGAGCTTCTCCTTCATCTTCTTGTCGGTCTCTTCCATGCCGTCCTGCGCAGTCTCGACGGCAATTAAGGCCCACTCCAGCTGCTTGTCCAGCTGAGCCTCGCGCGCGACAAGGACGCTGTTGTCGCCGGCAACCTTCGCCTCGCCCACCGTGTACAGCCCTCCGATTGCGTCGAGAATCGATTGCACGTCCGACTTTGCGCTGAACTTGTTTTTGAGCTCCTTCACCTCGTCTACGTGGGCCTGCACCTCGTCCACGAGAAACGCGTAAGAGAGCGCTGGCACGGCGCGCATCGCCGAGGTGTTGGTCGAGGCGGCGTTGGCTCGCTCGATGGCGTTCCGCAGGTAGCGGCGGTAGAGGCTTGTGAGGCCGGTGATGGTGGCCGCAGCCGCAGCGCCGCAGCGGGTCCGCGAGTTGGCGGCGGCGAGCTTGCAGGAGCTCTGACTGAGTCGGCGTGCTCGCGCCCTGTGGGGATGGTTGTGGCAGCACGCCAGGTCCGGATCCTCGCGACACACGCCGCAGACGATGGCCTTGACCTCCGGGTCGAGCACCGGCGTCGTGTAGTCGCTGGGCATCGTGATGTTCTCTTCGTGAAGGAGGGGGTGGGAGGTATGGGTCGTGCTGCACGTATTCGGGCAGGCCTGCGCCGCCGCATGCATGTCACACAAGCCGAAGGTGCGCACTTGCTTGCACGTGGGCGCGAAGCCGTTGTCGCAGGGTCCGTCGTCCGGAAGGGGCGCGAAGAACAGCGAACGGGAGCCAGCAGAGCTACCATCTGTCGTGCCGATACTCTCAGAGAGCAGCTCTTGGAGAGACTCGAGAATCCTAACCGCCGACGAGAGCCTTGCGACCCACTCGGCACCGCCAGTGGTCGCTGGATACGTCGCGAGCGCCTTTTGTGCGTGGTACGCGAAGAACAGCAAGTACTCGCACGGCTGGAACGTACCCTTGTCGTCGTCGCAAGGGCACCCCCAATGCATCTCGCACTCGTTGAGGTCGGCGCGGCACTGAACGCTCCCATCGAGCAGCTGGGTCCAGTCGTACGTGCCTTGAGACCAGAACGTCTCTCCGCACTGACGATTCCACTCCTCCAGTGTGCCGAGCGTCGTGTCGATCAAAAAGCCGCGCTTTGGCTTGACAGCTGCCGGCTTGGCGCGGATGCGTGCGGCGGTTTTGTGCTCCACGCACGCGGGGCCGAGGTACTTCTTGAGCGTAAAGGATTCGACGGACTTTGGGTGGAGGACAAAGCCGGATCGTGTCTTCAAACAGTCTGGGCCGAGGTACTTCTTGAGCATGTACCCCCCGTCTTCGGAAGACATGTCAATGTAGCCCAAGCACTCTGCATTGGAGTTGCACTGCGCCTCGCAGTCCGCCTGGCTCGAGCAGCCGCCGAGGTCGGAGTTCCACCCTGGCGCAGAGCGGCAAAAGCGCACCACATTCGTGTCTGCCGCGACGGAGTACGGCCAGTAGCAAACGAATCGCAGCTCCAAACCCCATCCAGAGTTTGAGTCAGTCCGGCGCGCAGTCACGGTGGTGCCCTCCTGAGAAATGGCAAATGTGTCATCGTAGGGGTCGTAACGGGCCCCTTGTCGGTTGTCACGGTTGACCGTTGCTGGGCATTGCAAGCCTGACACCCCCACATCCTTTGTTTTGCTGTTTGACGACGATGATCCAATGTCTACCGTCACCAGTGCTCGGCCCCGCACCGCTTCCACTGAGTAGCCGAGGCAGTTGTCGTCATTGTCACACTTTGCCTGGCAGTCGTTGTCGTCGTTGCAGGAGCCGAGGGAGGTGTCGCCGCCCGCTGGGTCGCACGGCGTCGCAATGTCAGTCTGGGGAAAGGTCGAGTACTCTGGCGGCGCGATATCCGTATCGTCGTCGCCGGCGATCTTGAGGCAGCTAAAGGTTGTCGGAGTCGACGGCAGCACGCCTGGCCTTTCTGGCGTGCGCGACACTGGGCCTGGGTCGTCGTAAGCAAAGACGAAGGGCGGGTGCTTGCACTGCTCGAGAAGATCGGCTCGGGCGGCCGGCTTGGTTTTCCTTCCCTGCAGCTCGAGGCCAAGAGGCGAGAGCGATGGAAACCAGCAAGGCACCGCGGCGCCGTTGCCAGGATCTGAGCCAACGGTGCTGTGTTTGAGGACCCCATCCGGGCCGTCGGCGTCCTCGCCGTTGTACGCAACGCAGCTCCACGTGCCTCGCGGGCAGGCTTTGAGGGGCCGGTGGTGATACTTGGCATCGCCGTTACGGCTCTCGCTGGAGCACGTGTACGACACGGAGCACGGCGTGTAGTCTGGCGTGCCGTCTTGGCCGCGGAAGTCGCACTGCGTGCCATCTTTCGGGGCCACACATGCTAGGTTGCCCTTGTAGAGCGTCGGCCTCGAATCCGAGATGTCTCCGCTCGGCGCGAGCTCCAGGCTGCCAAGCGGGCACACCTTTGTCACCGTGCCAGTCGGATTCGGGTTGGGGTCGCAGGTACCTATAATCAATACTTTAACTAACGACAGCCTGGCGCCAGGAACTGAGAGCCGAGCAGGATGGTAGAAACCCTTGTCCACGATTGTGTCGGGCAGTTCCGTCCAGGTGATGGGACTGCACGACTGGCCGAGAGGGCAGGACTGAGTGCTCGCGACGATGTGAGGCTTGACCACCTCAAGCGGCGGAGGCAGCGGCGGCGGCGATGGCGGCGGAGAGGGGTGGTCGATGAAGTTGCACCCATACCAGTCAGTGCAGCTCATGCTGCATCCCAAATCATCGCAGCTGTGGTAGCAGTCGTGGTCACGATGCACACACTTGTAGCCGTCACAGCAGGGACCGTACGGTTCGCAAGGCTCGCCTTTGCCGGTCTGGGAGCAGCTTCCCTCGCCGCAGTTTCCGCTCGAGAAGGAACGAGAACCAGCGCCTTGGCAGGCTGGCTGCCCAAGCGAGCGTCCCCGGTTGCACGTCTTGCAGCAACCCTCCTTTGCCTGCGGGTGGCTGCAGAGGCCTTGGATCGCAACGTCGCTGCAGCTCATGACGTCGCCGAGCCCCATCTCTCGAGCGGCCTGCATGACTGCGGTTTCGTCCGCGTCTTCGCAGCCTCCGTCAGCCGCGAAGCCGCGGCACAGTATGACAAGGCCGGCGAGCAGCACGAACTCGAGTTTGAGCATGTTGATCGAATGAATTCCTGCAGAGAGTCAAGAAGCGGTTGAGGGTGGTGTCCCCGATGGGAGGTGCAGGCCAGCGCTCGAGTGGCCCTCGCGGCTGCGGACACAGAGTGTCACTCTCTAGACGCAGAGATGCGAGCAGGCGGTGCGAGTACCCGCGTAAGAGAGGGAGGGCGGTCGGACGGGTTCGCGCGGGACAAGGGTGTGGAATGGGCAGCAGCGGACGCGTCTCGCGGCCTCCTCCATGGCAGCGGCTGTACCTGCGAGCGGGAGTAGGCAGGCGGTGCGAGGCCGAGGGGGCTACAGCCGCTCGCGCCGCGAGCGAGAGCGCATCGCATGGTAGGGGTGGTGAGGGGGCGGCGGGTTCCGTGAGCAATAGGCGTCGCGGGGGTCTAGGCGTGCTGCTCGCGGCGGCCAAGTTCGGGCGCAATGCGACGCGGCAGCGCGCGAGCGGACCGAGGAAAGTGCATGGTTGCCTTGACGATTTGAGGCGGATTTCTGGGGGGGCGAGAGATTACGCTGATTGCCGTCGAGGTGGCCGCGTTGGGTAGCGAGCCGCTCGCGCGGCGGTCGCAGCACGGCAGGCAACTGCACGAGCGTGCAGCAGCGCTTGGGATATTGGGCGAATCGGGGCACGCTCGCGCAAAGGCCAACACGCGCCGCATCGCGCGGGGCGAGGGGAGGAGGCGAAGGGGCAGGCCATGCAGCAGCATTCCTGAGGTTTGCGCGTGTCGTCGACGCCTGTATTCGATGTTATGAAACAAAAGCAAGGCGGACATGGCATATCGCTCTCGGGCCCACAGACATCCCGCACCCCCCCCCCCCCCGCGCGCGCCCCAGCCCCCACACGGCCCACACCCCGGCCGGGGGAGAAAGTGAAAGCAAGGGGGGAGTGACAGAGCCACGCAGTTTGGGATTGAAAGTCGAGAACCTCGCACTCCATGTGCGAGAACGCAGAGAGAAATGAAAGCCGTCCGGCTCACAAGTCCGGCTCACGCGCCCCGAGCTCTCACCATCTACCGCACTGCACACTTGCGCCCCCTCGCTCCCAACCCCCATCCACCTTGCCCCGAGTGCCGAGGTGCTGCAGAATCGCGCGATCTCGGGCGATCTCGGACCGCGCCGCGCGATCTCGGTCGATCTCGCGCAATCTCGGGGCTCCACGCCACGCCACTCCCCCCCCCCCCACCCCACCCCACCATCTACCGCACTGCACACTTGCGCCCCCTCGCTCCCAACCCCCATCCACCTTGCCCCGAGTGCCGAGGTGCTGCAGAATCGCGCGATCTCGGGCGATCTCGGACCGCGCCGCGCGATCTCGGTCGATCTCGCGCAATCTCGGGGCTCCACGCCACGCCACTCCCCCCCCCCCACCCCACCCACCGCCGCACCGCGCTATCTCGGGCGATCTCGGAGCGTCGCTCGCGCGGCGGCACACCTGCTCAAAAAAGGAAGGGCCCGGTTGGAGCCACGGGGCTCACGTGCTCGCTCGGGGCGCCGCCTCGCCCTGCGCCACTTGGGCCGGTGAGGCGGCGCCCCGCGCGGCGCGTTCATCACCCTCCACGCCGACCCCTGCGCGCACCGCTCATCTTCAGCCCTCCTGGGGTTACTCTCGCGCTCGTGCAGGGGAACCCGGCGGGACTCCCATTCCCCCCACCTCCGACGGCTTGGGTCGGTGTGGTTCAAGCACTATTGAATTCTTTTTCTCATGATGATGTCCATGAGTTGTATATGATCACTCTCGTCCCAAACACCTGGCACGGCGCGACTGCTGCTGCCGCCGCATCGACCGTTCTTCCGCGGCCCGCTGTCCGCTGCTGTACGGCACCGCCAGAGGAGACGGACAGCGACGCGTGGCAATTCAAGCTCCTCCTGCTCGCCGTCGCGGTCGGTTACGGCACGAATTTCCCGGTCGGGCGGCTCATGAACGAGGCGCTCCCGGCGGCAGCGTCCACGTCCGGCCGCTTCCTCCTCGCAGCTCTCGCCCTGAGTCCATTCATTTCTCGGCTGGACCGGCGGCTCATCTGGCCGGCCGTCGCCACGGGGCTGTGCGACGGCATCGGATACTCTGCGCAGTCACTGGCCCTCTGCGACACGGCCGCCGCCAAGGTTTACGCCCGCGAGACTTCTGACTCTCACACCTTCTCAAGCCGAGCGTCCCACCTCATACCTGCCTCGCAGGTCTCGTTCCTTGGCGCGCTCACCGTCGTGGTGGTCCCTTGCCTCTCCGCCGCTCTCGACGGCAAGCGGCTCGGCCTCGCCAGCGCGCCACAGGTGCTTGGATGGGTGCAGCTAGCTGGCATGGGTGCCTGCCTTGCGTCCTCTGTAGTGAAGAACGTCTCATCGCGGCTGTCAAATGTGGACGGCTGCAATGAGCTGCGACTGACGCCCGTCCGGACCGCGGCAGGTGTGGCTGGCAGCTCTGCTGACCTTGGGCGGGGTCGGCCTCCTCGAGATTGGCGAGATGTAGCCGAGATGTAGCCGAGATGCAGCCACGTCCTCAGCACATCCGTGACACGTCCGCGACACGTCCGCGACACGTCCACGACAGGCGACTCGCTCGATGCCCTTCGAGCTGGCGGCGTCGCGGCCGGCGACCTCTGGTCTATCGTGCAGGTCTGGTCTAGCGCCGCCTCTTAGCTGTGTGAGCGGCGTCGCTTTACACCTCCAGCCGTCAACAGGCCCTCGGTTTCGGCACCTCCTTCTACCTCATCGGGCGGCTGATCTCAGAGGATGACGACGGCGCGGGCGCGGACCAGGCCTTTCCTACCCCTCTTCAGACGGCCGCTCTCCCCCAAACCCTACCTTCTCCTCCTCTCCCCCGCCGCTCCTCTTTCCCAACGACCCTCTCCTTTCCTGCCGCCTCTGCTTTCCCTGCCGCTCTCTCCCCTCCCTGCCGCTGTCTGCCCTCGCCCCCACAATGCCTCTCCTCCGGCCTCGGGCGTGGAGCAGGTCCTACCCGTGACCGCCGTCAACGTGGCGACGGTAGCGGCGCTCTCCGCGCTATGGGCAGTGTGCGACGGCTGCGGCGTCGGCCCGCTCGCAGCCTCTTCATCCGCAGGGTGGCTCGTCGACGCGGGGACTCGCGACGCTTTCGCGCTGCCGGGCGCGCTTCGGGGGGACAGCGGCGCGCCCGCCGGTGGTGAGGGACGCGTTCAGGACGCGTCCGTGTCGACGCCGCCCTGCCGTGTGTGTCGCAGGCGGCGGGTTGCTGTGGACCGGCCTGGTCACCACCGCCCTCGTGCGGGTCGGCGAGACGAAAGGGCTGACGCGGGTGGGGTTCCTTCCCTCTTCCCCCGCCACACCGCTGCCACACCGCCGCCGTCGCCGGTCTTCCCTCCCACCCACCTGCCCCCTCGCCGCACCGCGCACCGCGCCAACCGCGGCCCCTGACGCTGGCGCAGGTGCCGCAATCGGCCGCGTCCGTCATCGTCGCCACCGAGCCGCTCTGGGCGAGCGCCTTTGGGCTGCTGCTCCTCGGCGAGGGGCTCGACCCGCAGTGCGTCGTCGGCGGAGCGCTCGTGGTTGCCGCGTGCGTCGTCTCTGGCCTGGAGCCCGCGGCGGTGCGTGCGGCGTTGCCGTTCCTGCCGGGTGGGGTGGGGAGCAGGTAACAGGTGAGCGATGCATCCCGCTTTCCCGGCCCACCGGGTTTTACAGTTTTCTGAAAGTGTCTTTCTGCCAAAGACGTATCTTTGGCAGCAGTGTTTTTTTTGCAATTTTGCATCACGCAGCGAGAGGTGACATCGGCAGGCGCACGCCATGTGTCGGGAGCCAAAAGGCGTTGGATCGTGAGCTGTGACGATGTGGGTTGAGCTCGCGAGAGAAATTTGTTTTCCGTTTTCGCACCACATTGTTTGTTTAGTATAGTCGGACCGTCACACACCGCCACACCCTCTCTCTCGGGCGTCGAGGCCCTCTAATAAACGACAAAATGGAGCGTCATTGTGATGCCGCCACTCCTCACCAAGCCGCAACGCGTGCGATGTTGGCAAAGAGTGGTCAGCTGCAGCCCTCGCGGCAGCTGTGCCACATGAAGACGCCCCGCACGGCGTACGACTATACATTGGGTTTGCGCCCTCGCCAGCAGAGCATGTCCGCCCGCCGCACTGGCCCCGAACGTAGTTGGGCGGCGGCGCCGTGGCACCTCACTTGGTCCCGCTCGAGAGCGGCGCGCCGTCCGGCGCGAGCGTGCGCCGCATGTATGCGCCCAGCTTCTTGCCCGGGCAGATGGCGGCCGCGTCGACGCCCTCCATGCCCGCCTTGGGGTACCAGTCGACCGCCGGGCGCGGAATGGTGGTGCAGGTGCCGCCGTAAAAGTCGGGCACCGCCTCGGGGTCCGCCACCTTGAGCAGCGCGCCGGGCGTGTGCTTGCAGTCCAGGATGCCAACCATGTCCTGGACGGGGGGCGGTGAGGAAAGGTGAGGGGCGTGAGGTGCGAGGGGGCGCGAGGGGCGAGGCAGACTGGCACGGGAGGGAGGAGTCTAGAGGGGCGAGCCGCGAGGGGCGAGAGGGCGAGAGGGCGAGAGGGCGAGAGGGCGAGAGGGCGAGAGGGCGAGAGGGCGAGAGGGAGGGAGGGGGCGGACGGGGCGGACGGCGCCTGGATCTGCTTGGACAAGAGCGGCTTGACGAGCTTCCAGCCCTGGTGCAGCGCCCACGCCGCGTTGAGCACACGCGCGCCGCCGAGGAGCTCCGGGTAGTACAGGTCGGCGAGGGGCATGATCGGCTTGAAGCGGATGAACATGCGCAGCGAGACGTGCGCGAGGCCAATGCCGCCGGCGTCGATGACCATGAACTGGCGGACGAGGGCGCCGGTCTCCTGCGTGAGCTTGTCCGAGTGGTACGAGACATACTCGAGGATGAAGTTGTTGATGTCAAAGTACTGCGAGTTGTCGAGGAGCTTGAAGAACTTGTTGACGTCGAGCGAGCCGTAGTCGATGAAGGTCATCAGGTCGCCCGCCTTGGTGCGGCTGTGCGCGTTTGAGACGGCGACGGTGGTGAAGAGCTCCTTGATGTTGGGGATCTCATTGTAGACGAGCCCCGACGCAATCTGCTTGCGGAAGCCGTTGACGCCGCTCTTGGCGCGCCACGCCGCCGTCGACTTGGCCTTCTTGAGAGCCTGCGCGTGGGCAGAGCGGCTTGGGGTCAGGAAGGGCCCATGGAGTGTCGAGCGGAGGGGGAGGGCTGTTGGGGGGGGGGGGGGGGGGGTCAGGTGCAAGGCGGTTGGGGAGGCGGCTTGACGGCAAGGCGGTGGAGAAGGCGGTGGAGAAGGCGGTGGAGAAGACGTGGAGAAGACGGAGGAGGCGGCCGAGGAGGTGGAAGGCGGTGGACGACGCGACGAGGGGCGAGCGGTGGGCGGGCGCGCGCCTTTTCGTACTTCCAGTCCTTGTCGACGAGGAAGCGGAGGATGAAGATGTCGCCGTACTCGTCGAGCTCGCCGCCGGCGGCGAGGTAGGCGGCCTTGAGGTCCTTGATCTTCTGCCACTGCTCCGGCGTCAGCTCCTCGAGCGCGACATAGTTCGCCGCGGTTGGGTTGTTGTTGACGGCGGCCGCCGGCGCCTCCGCCACCGGCTCCGGCTCTGCATACTTCTCCTCTGCCGGCGCCGCCGGCGGGGGGATCGACTCGATGGCGTCGCTGGCGGGGCAGTCCTCCTTGGACATCGTCGCCAGCCGCTCCGTCAGCTCGTTGCACCGCGCCTCCAGCTCGGCGACCTGCTGCCGCCGCTCCTTGAGGGCTTGCCGCGCCTGTCGGGTGGGTCCGCGGGGCTCCGATCAGCGGTGCTGCGGGAGGGGAAGGCTGGCGGGGGCGGGGCGCGGAAGGGCGAAGCTTGTGCTGGTGAGGGATGGTGGGCGGCTTGTCCAGTCCGTCTTGGTGTGTGATGGGAGGCGCGAGAGGAGGTGGGGAGGGGACGGGGCGAGAGGCGAGAAGGAGAGGAAGGAGGGATGCGGGGCCGCGCCTGCTGCAGCTCGCGCTTGGTGCTCTTCATCTCGGCGTCGGCCTTGTCCTCGTCGTTCTGCCACGGGAGGAGGAGGCGGATCTTCTCCCACACCGTCTCCTCCTCCATGATCGTCATCTCGTTGGCGCCCGCTTCCATAGAGTCGAGGTCCGCATCCTTGGCAGGCGGCTCGGGCATGCCGGTCGTCGACTGGCCCGCGTCGGCGCGCTTGGAAATCTCGAGGCGCTGGCTGCGGCGCTCCGACTTGACGTGTGAGCGGAGGTGGCGCGTGAGGGCGCTCATAAAGTCGCCCGAGACGACCTAGGGCGGCGGGCGGGGGGGAGGGGGGGCGGAGGTGAGGTGTGCTGGCGGGCTGGGTGAGCGGGCGCGGCGGCGGCGGCGGCGATGAGCCGGGCGGCGGCGGCGAGGGAGGCAGTGGCGTGAGCGTGGCGGAGAGGCCGGGGCAAGGGCGGGGAGTTGTGACACCTGCGAGCGGAGCTCGTACATGGTGTTGATGTCGGAGGCCTGTGCGCGAACGAGCACGGCCGGCTGGCCCTTGCTGTCGGTCGACGGCATGAGGTTGCCGGTCATGCCCTCGGGCAGGGCCGACATGAGCGCAGCGTGGAGCGCCGAGTCAGAGTACGTGGCGAACGGGTCGCACGCCACGCCGCCATTGCGAAAGACAACGCGGAACTCGATGCGCATGGGCGCTGCTCCCGCCGAGCGAGAGGAAGACTTGGATCGTGAGAAGAGGCGCGGCGTGAGGCCCTTGCTCTTGCGTTGCTCGGTACCGTGCGAGGACTGCGAGCGGACGGCGGGCGGCTGCTGGAAGGTCATCGGGGCAGAGAAGTGGCGGCGGCGAGCTGTGCTAAGGATTCGACCAGCTGAAGTCGATCGCAAGAGCAAGGTGCCAATGAGCTCGGCGTTTATGGCGCGCCGGTTTCGGCGTCGCTAATCTTTGGTGATCTGTGATCTGTAAGGGTCCGCCCGCAGGCGCATTTTGTAGTGCCCGGTGCCGAACCTGTCGGACCTTAAGACAGCGTCGTAGATCCCTGGGCGAGGGTGGTGGAGGGGGGGGTCTGGCGGCGGAGCAACCACCTCCTCCCGGCGTGCCGGGAGGCAGGATGTCATCCCCCGTGATCCGGACCGCCCCGTCGGGGGTAGACCGCTCGTCTAGCCGATCAGCCTTAAGCGAGCGGTCTGGCCGTTGGAATGGCCGAGGTTGGTGGACTTGCGTCCTCGCATCGATCGTGGTTACAAGTAAGTAGCCTTATGACTTATGAACAGAACACCCACCCTGAACCACGTTCATCGGGAGGGGGGAGGTCTATGACCTACCTAGTTGTCCGGCATGCGGGAGGGGGGAGAGGTCTATGAATTAGTCTACGTGTACTAAAGCCGTAATTGACCCCTACCTAGTTGTCCGGCATGCGAATCTTTGGTTCTTTACAAGGGTGCTGGTTCGTATGAACGTTGCCACACGTGGTTTTGAACCCTGCGCGTGTAACACACTCCTCCTCAACTCGCACTCGCGCTCGTCCTCTCCCCCGCGGCGGCGACCCTCGCAACCCACTCCGTCAGCGCCGTCGCGAGCTCCTGCGCCCTCGTCTTCTGCACATTGTGCCCGCCGCTCGGCCAGTCGAGCCTCGGCCCATCCCTCGCCGCGCACGCGTCGAGCACCCGCCGCAGCTCCATCGCCTTGCCTGGCTGGATCAGCGCGTCATCGCGAGCAAAGGCGTGCAGCACCGGCGCGCGCAGCGCCCTCGCGTCCGCCTCCGCCGCCGCAAAGTCGAGCCACGCGACGCGCCGGTGCACCCACTCGAGCTCGGCGCGGCTCACGCCTCTCGGGAAGCCCAGCACGCGCTTGAACCAGGCCTCGGCCAGCCCGCCCAGCGCCGCTTTCCACGGCGGCCGGCCGAGCAGGAGGCAGAGCGGACGCACGATCCACCGGAAGCCGGTGTCGTTGAGGAGCGCGCGGTGCGGCGTCACGTTGACTGGCGCGAGCAGGACGACGCCCGCCACGGGACGCCGCGCCGCGGCAGAGAGGACGGTGTGGCCGCCGATGCTGTGCCCGAGAAGCAGGACGGGAGGAGGAGGCGAGAGGTCGGCGGTGGCGGCCTCGACCGCACGCCACAGCGCCGAGGCCATCTCTGGCTGCGTGGGCTCGCGGCCGTCGGGGAAGGGCGGGCTCTCTCCGTGGCCGGGAAGGTCGACGGAAAGGGTGCGAAGCGGTGCGCCGAGCCGCTCGATCGCGTCTGTCAGATGGCGGAAGTCGCGAGAGGAGCCTGGAGCGCCGTGCACCAGCGCGAGGAGCGGGCTGCTCGTGGCGCCAGCGCTGAGAGAGTAGCGGACGCCGCAGGCTGTGCGGCGGACCACAGCAGCAGCAGCAGCAGCCATACAGACGCTGGTCGCTCGCGCCGCTTTTTAACCAGAGGCATTGGTCGATCTATCTCTTAGGTGGCGAAGATCCCAGGGCGGATCTTCCAGCCCCTTTCGGCACCGCAGCGCGGTCCTACGGCCGCTGGTGGCCGCCCCGATGGCCCAGCTGGCCTAGCCGGGTCGGCTGCATGTCCATGCGGGCCGTGGGGGCCATTGTTGGGTCATTGTGTCTCGTTTGAAAACGGGTTTTCGGCTGACGGCAGAAGATCCTCTGGAGGATCTTCTGCCGGGAACCAATGTCAGAGCTCTGAACGGCTGATCTGAGAGCCCCCCAGCACAGTAGGGATTGATTATGATCAGATCCATCACTCACTGGCCGGGGTTGAGCTATTCTCGACGACAAGCCGCGTGCAGAGTGCCTGAAGTTCAGCCCCGCACGACGCACAGACGTGCCGGCTAGTGGGCTGCTAGCGCTCTGCGGGCAGCAAATGTCGCGCTTCTGGGCCACCAAGCCGGTAAGATGACCTAACCCGGTCAGTCTGAGGCTGCGGCCATGATGGTTGTACTCCTCCTGGTGTCGGTGGACCACTTTTTCGGCTTGAGCTAGCGACGAGAATGATCAGCGCGAGGTGGACTCACGAGGGAGGCCACGGGTCGCCATGTTGGGCACACAGGTGCCACCCAGGCAGAAGTATTGACCAGACAATGAATACGTACAATACCCTCACAAAGAGAGCGATGCCTTCCCACCTGCTGACCGCTTCAGCGGTGGTCGCCACCAATGCAACGACGGCACTCGCCGGCCACGTTGCTGGCCAGCACCAACAATTCTGGGCGCCGCTCGGCCCGAGGCATTGCTAGGCCTGCTCAGGTCGTGCCACATGAGCACTGAATGGCCTCGTAGGGGGCTCATGGGGCCGGTGACGGCGCCCTGCGCCGAAGATCCCAGGGCGGATCTTCTGGCCGCCACTTAAGAGATCCATCTATCTATTGGGAATCCGATGAGCGTGCCAGCGCGGCAAGAACAAGCAGGCGGCAGGCGGCATCTTACGCTCGACTAAACCTAAAAATCGCAAACCCTGTCAGCAGTTCACCTACGGGAATGTACGTAAGAGCCACAAGCACTGAAAATTCTCTTTGTGCGTGTCTGCATTCATTGAGAGCACGAGGCGCCGCTTCACACAAGCGCGCATGAAAAGCCGTTTCCTGTCCGCCATGGGCTGCCTAAGCGCGCTGGCATCAGCGACCGGCGGAGCCGTCGTGCACGTCGACGCTCGCAACCCAGCAGAGGCGCTCCGCTTGCGCTTTGAGGACGGCAGCGGCGTGACCGAGCTGGGCCTGCGGCCGGACGACACGTGGGCTCACCCCGATCTGCAAGTGACCGGTGGAGAAAAGAGCCGTGGCGTCTTCCGTAGCGATTCCGATGCGGACGGCGCAGTGGCGCACGCTCATCTGCACTGCACCTCTGACTGCTTCATCGATTTCGCGCTCATCTCGAGGGCCGGCTCGATCCTCCTCGCGCTCAACGGCACGCTTCCCGGCAGGCAAGGCACGCTCCCCTCCCCCGACGCGCACCCCATCCGCCATGGGCGTCGAGCGCAGCTCCAGCTTCCGGCTCCGCCCTATGTCCGCCTCTCAAACTGCGACTGGGCCGGCGTGAAGACGTTGACTCTCGGCCTGGCCATCGACAAAGGCTTTGTCGCCGCGGTCGGCGGCACCGACGCGGCGATGACGGAGGCCGCCTCTGCCGTTTCTCGCGCCAACTTCGTCTATGAGGGCCAGCTCGGCGTGCGCCTGCTCGTGACGCACGTGGTGATCAACAGCGACGATGCGCCTGTGGGTCAGGCACCGGACGTCCCCGGCTCCCGGAATACATGCGAGGAGTACTTTCCGAGGGTGATAGAGGGACATGGGCTGACTGTACAGGCCGACGATATTGAGGCAGCGCTCGATCTCTTCTCGTGGTGGGTGGGATGTGGCGGTGGCGGCTGTGACGGCATCGCCGGCGCTCCAGTCGAGCCTGCAGAGGGTCCCGCGCTGTGGCACCTCCTCACCGACTGCTTCCCCCCAACCGGCGTGGTTGGCATCGCCGGCCTCAGGGCTGTGTGCAACACACCAAGGCGCATCGAGTTTAGGGACAGCGGGATCCCGGCCCGACAGCCGGGACAGGCAGACGACGCTTGCGACGTGGTCGTCCAGTCCACGGGCAACTGCGCGTCAAAGTTTGCGACAGAGTCGTGCGACAGCGAGGACAAGATTTGCACCGCCAATACCGCCGTGTCCTCGTGGTCGCGACGGGGGAGCTTCTGGCACACCTTCGCGCACGAGATAGGGCACAACCTCGGGGGAGAGCACACGTTTGGGTACGACAGCAATGGCAACTTCTTCGACTACGGAGGCTCCGCGCCCACTCGCACGCCCCTCGCTCCCACGCTTCTCTCGACAGCTCAAGGGTGCCTCGCGATTGCCTCAAGGGTGGCCCCGTATGATCTCTAGACTGCCCCGTGACACCCCGCCCACTCCCTCTCGCGCTTAGGGCTAATGTCGTACCCTGCGGAGACGGCCTTCTACGACCAGGGCGACGTGTGCAAGCACCTCAAGGACACCGTGCTGCCCAGCGGACAGTGCCTGGCTAGCTCGGAGCCGGAGTGTGGCAACGGCAAGGTCGAGGCGGGCGAGGAGTGCGACGACGGCGACGACACTGGCGGCGATGGCTGCTCGGCCACCTGCGAGGTCGAGTGCGGCTATCTCTGCGAGGAGAGGCTCACGGCCTCGGGCCTGACGGCGAGCGCATGCACGCTGGGGTGCGGCAACGGCCAGGTGGACGTCTTATTGCGGGAGGAGTGCGACGCCCCCGGCGAGACGTGCTGCTCGGGCGAGTGCCGACTCGCGGCCGACAAGAAGTGCTGCGGCGGCGAGTGCTGCGACGACAACGGCCAGTTCAAGACGACGGCCGACTCGTGCGACGGGGGCAGCGGGTATTGCTCCCAGGGCGAGTGCGTCCCCACTGCTAGTCAAAGCCGATGCGTGCCATACGGGTACATCATCGACGCCGATGCATGCCCGCAGTGGGACGACCAGCCGTGCATTCAACGCTGCTTCCGACCGGCCACCGGCAATACGCCCGCGCGATGCGACCAGTACCTGTTTCCCGAGCCCAACCTGCACCTCAACTACCTCCCCGACAATACGCCCTGCCTGCCGACGCAAGACGCGGGCGTGCAGGGCGTCTGCCTCGGCGGGCTCTGTAAGGCGATCCAGCTCGAGTCAAAGTGCAGCACGCCGGCGCCGCCTCCGGGGCCACCAAACCCGCCTCCCCCGCCCGGGCTGCCGCCGTCCCCGCCGCAATCTCCATCTCCGCTCCCGCCACCCTCGTCGCCGCCGGCCCCTCCCTCCCGCCCTCCGCCGCCGCCGCCGCCGCCCTTGCCGCCGCCTCCCCCGGCCGCCCCGGAGGGAGAGTTCCCATGGCGGGTGGCCTACGTCGCCGCGGGCTGCCTCACGCTCCTCACGCTCCTCATCTGCCTGGCGATGAGCGCCTCCTGGTTCTGCAAGGCGCCCGCGCGAGCGCCCATCGCCGTTCAGGCGGGCGGCGGGCAGCGCCAGCGGGCGAGCGCGAGGCGATCGAGTGCGGCCGGGCGCTTGTCGGGGCGGCTCTCGCGCTCGTCGCAAGCCATGCCCGCCGAGATGTCGGACGTCCTCCTCGAGGGGGAGGCGCAGCCTCGCGCGTCGCCGCAGCGGGTGGCCGCCTAGCGGAGAGCACACAGTTTCGCGCCTCGCGCTAGAGCCTTCAGCCTAGACCACTCACTCCGTCTACCGCGTCTGTCTCTCTCTCTGTCCATTATAATTGTTTAAATCTAGAGAGAGGACTCGACTTGCGCTTTGGTGGATTTTTGGGCATTGGGGAGGCGGGCGCGTCTCCAGACTCCAGTCAGTGGGAGACTTTTCGGCGGTCGAAATGCGGCGGGAGGGATGCGTCCTTTGTTGTCCTCTTGTGGGACGACCTGTGGGACGACCTGTGGTAGCGATCCGTGCCGTCGCCGGACGCGGCGGCGAGGCACCCGGGCGCCGGCGTGGCGCGGCGGCAGGTGCGAGGCCCCCGGGGCGTGTGCGCGCGGGTAGGGTTGTCAAACGTTAAGAGCTGAACAGTGTTGCTAGTGTTAACAGTAACAACAGAACAACAGTGGGGCTCCCCAACAACAGTAGCTAACGTTAGGCCGGCTGAATAACAATAAGGAAGGCCTGGCAGTGACCCACGACGATCTCCAGCGTCCAGTGCGGGTAATACCCGAAATACCCGGGGAAACCCAGGTATTTTCGGGTTTCACCCGCGGGTTTTTTGGCATTTTCTGCTTGCCCTGACCACTGAACAACAGTAACAACAGTAACAAACAGTAACAGCTTGGGCTGGGGAGAACACTTGAACAACGTTGAGGACTTCAGCCAACAATAGTGCAACTGTTAGGCCCAAAGTTAACGTTTGACAACCCTACGCGCGGGGCGGGCCCCCACGGCCCAACGCACGGCCCGAGCGCGACAAAATTTAAAAAAAGAGCTATTTAAGGTAAGGTAAGGTAAGGTAAACTTCACCACACACACGAGGTGGTGGGGCAAGGGGGGGCAACCCTCGCGTCTCCACGTCTGACGACAGGAGCCCCACGGCATTCAAAGTGCAAGGCCCAGTGCGCGTGGGTGAGCGGTGTGTGTGTGTGTGTGTGTGTGTGTGTGTGTGTGTGTGTGTGTGTGTGTGTGTGTGTGTGTGTGTGTGTGTGTGTGTGTGTGTGTGTGTGTGTGTGTGTGTCACGTCACTGCATCCTCCGCCGGTTCCTCCCGTCGCCTCTTCTTTGTTCGAATGGTTTTCAATCCATCCTTCACGAAGCCCTCCCATGTAGCTAGCGTTCTTGGCGAATGTCTCGAAATGGCCAGCAGGCGCTGTCTGCTCGCGGTCTGTGCGGGCCGCTCGTCCTCCTCGCCCTTCTTTCGTCCTCCCGTCCCTCCCCTCCACCATGGCCTTCTCGGCACTTCTTTCTCCATCCGCCTCGCCCTGCCTTTTCGTATCGTGCCGTTCGCCCTCCATTCGGTGACCTCCATGGCTGTCCGCCCCCTTTTGGGTGGCGCTCTCGATACGGTTGCGTCAACCTCGACGTCGCTGTCGCCCTCCCCGTCCCCGCCGTCGTCCGTGCCTCGGTTCGCGTCATCGCACATCGGTAGCGTCTCCGTTGTTCCCTCGTGCTCCACTAGAGAGGGGTCCCGCGCGCGCGCGGCCCGTGTACACGAGATTACACCAAACGTTGTTTTCGATACACATACGACGAGCTGGCCGCCTGGCGCGCGTGGCGGACCAAAAGACTGACCAAACGCGACACCGCGATGACTGAGGCGCCGTAACTATGGACAGACTGCGATCTACATCACGCCCGCGGTCGGACTCAGCGCCTCGCAGCCTGCTGATCCCTCCCCATCCCCCCAACGCGTGACTTACGCGCAGGTGCATGACAAGCGACGTGAGCCAATACCTACCCTCGACTCACGCCGCTGAATTTGCCCTCCCTGCTTGCGCGTCGCGCAGGTGCACCCACTCCTTCTTGAGAGGAGTGCGGACGCGCCGCTCGCCTGCCTCAGTCACACCCTTCCACGTCAGCACGCCCCACGCCTTGCCACGCTGGAACTGCTCCTCGTCGCCCTTGGTCCACAGCTCGACGCGCGTGATCTGCCAGTGGTGCTCGTTTGGGTCGTAGCCGTTCCTCGTCCACCCCGAACGAAACACCTTGGAGCCGACGCCGTACTTTGGCAGCTCGCGCGCAACCTCAAATAGATTTTGCCGCGTCGGCGCAGGCTGCGGAGGTCCGTCTGGAGCAGCGGCACTGGAGCAGCGGCGACGCAGCAATGGCGCCGCAGCCGCAGCTGGCAAAGCATGCGAGGCCAGCAGCGCCGGCGCTCGCGTGGAGAGCAGTGGCTGGCGCGAACGTGTCGCGGCCGTTCGAGCAAGCCGCAGGCAGCCGCGCATCAGTTTTTTCGGCTGCCGCTCGTGCACTCGGGCAACAACGAGAATCGCCCCGCCAGAAAAAATCCCAGACTGTCACTCCCCTTTACCTACCTACCTCCCCTTTCTCCCGGCCGGGGTGGGGCGCGCGCGGGGGCGGCGGGTGTGCGGCGGGTGTGAGGGATGTCTGTGAGCCGAGAGCGATATGCCATGTCCGCCTTGCTTTGTTTCATAACATCGAAGGCTAAGCTCAAAATGAAAAGCCCAGGTATTCGTGAGTCGCCCATCTTCTCCTACAGATCCCAAACAACAAAACAAATCTCTCTCTCTCTCTCAGATGCCTGCTCTACATGAACCAAACAACTCAAACTACCTGAGCTCTACTACGTAATTCCTCTCAGGCTCTCACATAAACGCACAACCCCGGGCCCGAAATCGCAGAGAGACAGTCACGCAACACGGGGTCCAGGGGGAAGGCGAGCAAAAACCTTATCGCGCGCGCTAGACGCCGACTCGGAGGCTGCACCGGTCAGGCGCGCAGCCGGAGAGAGAGGGAGGCGCTCAATCGCCGCACGCGGCGAGCGCCTCCATCATCTCCGCCTCATGCGCACCCTCCACCCCCGCGCCCGCGCCTGTAGCGTCCGTGCGCGCGAGGATGGCCTCGCCGGGTGGTGCGGCCGCAGCAGCTATGGCACTTGGCAGCGACGGCCGCAACAGAGGCACGTCTGGGGGGGCGACCCCCCCATCTTTGTTTACCGAATGCGTCTCTGGATTAGAGTGCGTCTAGTAGGCCTCCTACTTAGACGCTCGCTGTCCTCGGTATGCTCGAGCATCCTAAGATGCGCGAGTCCATATTAGTTGCTCCGCGCATCCCGAATTGCTCGCGGCATCTCCGGTTGGCGTTGCTGTCTCAAAAGACGCGCCGTGCATACTGTGAACAGCGCGTGTCTCAGAAGACGCGCGCATATTTTGAACAGCGCGTGTCTCAACAACTCAAGTACACGCACGTTACAAAAGAAAACAACACGGGTCGCGGTGTGGCGAGCGCTGCGCGGCGGGCCGTGCCCCCGGCTGTGCGCCGCGGCCGCCCCCGGCTGTGCGCCGCGGCCGCCCCCGGCTGTGCGCCGCGGCCGCTGCACTACTACTCGCACACCCGCGGCCCGCCCACCCGAGCACTCGTGGGTGGGCGCCCTATAGCCTCTCCGCGCAACGTGCTGGGGCACGGACAGCGGCTCTCACGTCTGGCAGCGGCAGCAGGCCCACCGCTGCACCGACTCACACTGAACAGCACGCACAGGACAGTCACAGAACACTGCCCCTGACGCCACTCACGGCCACGGGCTACTCAGACTTAATCACAGGCACCTCGCTTAGCACTCCGTGCACGCGGCTGCCGGTTGCCGTTGCCAGCGCCGCTTCCTGCCCAGATCAAACACCTGCGACGAGGCGGAGGCGATGAGCGGCCCACGGTCGCCGTGAGAGCGCGTGGCGGGCGACGGCTCACCGATCGAGCGGAAGCGGTCGCGCTGCTCGAGAGTGGGGGCGGCGGCGAGGCGGGCAAGCCACCCGCAGATCCCCAGAAGGACGCCGTCGCGAGGTCGAGGGCGGGCGGCGGGGGCGGCGAGGGCGAGGCGCGAGGCGCGAGGCGGTGTTGGCGGCGGCGGTGGCGCGGGCGGCGGCGGTCACGGAACGGGGGCGAGAGGGTGACGGCGAGCAAGACACCCGCGCGCGCTGCGCGGTCGCCGTTCTGACTCACATGCCTGCGGACAGCGCCGACGGGTGGTGAGGAGGGCGGCGAGCCGGCGGGCACGGTGTGCGCGCGAGCGCCGCGCGCTGGTGGGCGACAGCTCACCGAGCGAGGAGCGAGGAGCGGAGCGGAGCAGAGCTCGGGATGCCCGGTCCCTCAAACGCCAAGTCAAGCAAGAAAAACGCATGGACAATGCTTTCTGGCGGTGAACTTCTTTTCTAGACCGCTAGGATTGAGAGCAGCCTCGCTCTCAATCCTAGAAGTCGAAGGATTGTGAGCAGCACTCCTCGCAATCGTAGCATCTCTGTGCGACTGTGAGCACCCACGCTCGCAATCCTACGTCTTCTCTTCTATCTGGGCTAAGAGCAGCTCCGCTCCCAAGGTGACTGGTGACGCCTACGACTACTACCAGCGCGCTCACAATCCGAGCAAAGTCTAGGATTGCGAGCAGTTGGCTCACAATCCTAGCAACATGCCTCCGGTTGCGAGCAGGAGCGCTCGCAATCCTAGAACTTTCGCCGATTGCGAGCGACACCGCCCACAGTCCTACGACTTCTAGGATTGCGAGCGGGTCCCCTCGCAATCGGTGCGATCACTGTTTGGATTGTGAGGAGACCCTCCCGGCGCGCTCACTCACAAGCGCTCGCGGCTGGAGCGATTGGGAGCGCCCTCTGTGCGACGCTAGCAATCCTTGGATCTTGGGTACGATTGTGAGCGCCGCCGCTCATAGTCCTACAAGATGTAGGATTGCGAGCGCTACTGCTCGCAATCGGAGGCATGTTGCTAGGATTGTGAGCAAAGCTGCTCGCAATCCTAGACTTTGTTCGGATTGCGAGCGCGCTGGTAGTAGGCGTCACCAGTCACCTTGGGAGCGGAGCTGCTCTTAGTCCTAGAAGATGTAGGATTGCGAGCGTGGGTGCTCACAGTCGCACAGAGAATGCTCCGATTGTGAGAGGAGTGCTGCTCACAATCCTTCGACTTCTAGGATTGAGAGCGAGGCTGCTCTCAATCCTAGCGGTCTAGAAAAGAAGGTTCACCCTTTCTGGCCGACTCTCGGAAGTACGCTGTCTTCCGTGTCTAGGCGCACGCCCACGCCCTCAGCCTCGAACTGGCCCCGCTACCTGCCGCGCAAACTGGTTGGTGGGGGGGAGGCGGCTTTGTCGTTTTAGTTAGCACTGCTGCTGCAGGTCGCCGTCGGATCGTCGTAAGCAGTGGCCAGTGCATGCAACTTTGCGTGCGCCCAGAGCTCGTGGCGCGAGCAGATGCATGCGCGGTGCTGAGAACCTGGTTCTCCAGGAGGGGCAGGCCGCGAGGAGAGACCTCACGCGAGCACTCAAGGCAGGGCCCCCAGGGGAGGGTGCCGAGAGATCACACCGCCTTTTCGTGCTCCCTGGTGGATAGCCTGGTCCCCCCTCGGTGCCCGGTGCACCCGACACACGGTGTCTCCTGAGACGCTTCCCTGTCCAAGTATAGTAAAATGTGATCTAGTATGCAAGTGCCATCTCAGAACAGCTGTGCATCTATAGATGCTTGTGGCGTCTAAGATGGAACGCGCAACAAAAGACACGGCGCGGCCATCTCCAGGACAGCCGTCGCATCCTAGAATGCCCTGTGTACCCGAGACACATGGTATCTTTGAGATGAAAAGTGCGTCCTAGAATGCGTTTTTGCATTCTAGGATGCATCGGTAAACAAAGATGGGGGGGTCCCCCCCCCAGACGGCAGCAGCAGCGGCAGAAGCGCGGCAGCGGTAGCCGTAGCCGCCGTCGCCGTCGCGCGGTCGCTCAGCATCTTGAACGAATGCCCACGATGAGCAGCGAGGCGAGGGACAAGGGGTATCTCCTCAGGCTCTCACGTGTCAAAAGGACAAACGCAGTGCTAAAGGACGGTAAACAGCTCAGCACAGCCGTCAGCACAAGAGAGAAGGTGGCTGCCACACCAAGAGAGAGTATTATCCTGACGACGTGGTAGTTCAAATCTCTTCGGGGGGAAGAGTTTCATCTTCAACGGACAACGAGCTGGCCCTCGCGGCCAAGTCCCGCGGGTTCTCGATGGACGTCTTGTCCAGAGAAGGCTCAGAGTTCATCCTTCCCGGAGCCCTCTTCGATCCGCGCGCAGATCCCGCATGAGAGCGGGCACGTCTTGTGCATAAAGCCCGTGTTCTCCTCGCACTCGCTGTCCGCGGCCCATGCCTTGCAGAGCTCGGCGTGATCGATGCAAACGGTCTTGCACAGCCCGCAAGACGACGGGCATTCGCGTGCCATGTAGTTTGCCTGCGGAGGCGACCGATAGGGGGCGCGGGTGGCGGGCGGAGGGGCGGCGCCCGAGCGAGGCTTCGTCAGAGGGCCGCGCACATTGCCGTGGCACTCGCCCTTCTCCGCCCAGGCCGCGCACTCGTCGTTCTTGTCCGAGCACCCCAGCTGCTCGTCGCAGACGCCGCACGACTGGGGGCAGTTGAGGTACCTATTCGCGGCAGTCTCGCGGTTGTCCGTCTCTGCCCGATTAGTGCGGCCCCTGCCGGCGATCAAAGAATTCATGTAGTTTGGGTTGTCGACGCAGCCGCCGTCCCTGGACCAAGATGGGCAATCGCCGCTGTGGGGAGCGACGGGCGCAGAGTCAATCAGACGGGAGCGGGACGAGGGCTGTGCGATCCGGCTGGCTCTCACTTGGCGTCTTTGCACGCGCTCTTGCATGTCCCGCACGAAACAGGGCAGTGAACATTCATGTACAACGGGTTCGCATCGCACTCGCCCAAAGCCGCAAACCCGGCGCACTCCTTCTTGCTGTCGACGCACTCGTGGTGGCAGAGGCCGCACGAGGTCGCGCAGTTGGACATCATGTAATCCGCGTTGTTCACGCAGGCGCTCTCGTTGCTGTAAATCGCGAGCGTCCCGTTGTCTCCACGCGCCCAAGCGTCACAGTGCTCGTGCTTGTTTGCGCAGTCAAAGGTGCAAATGTTGCAGGAGAGCGGGCACGTGAACGCCATGAACGCGGTGTTTTTCTCACACTCGCCGTCGGCCGCCCAGTCGCCGCAGCTCTTCTCCCGATCCGTGCAGATGCCGCCGAGGAGAGAGAGGTGAAGGGCAAACATTTCGAGGAGCAAGAGATGCAAGCAGGATGGCTCCAAATCCGGCGGTCACTCTGTCCGCGCATGTTTTTTTTTGGGCGATGAGTACGGCGCCGCCCGCGGGCTCGAGGCTCGACGGCACTCTCGCGTGGCCAGGCCTGCGGCTGGCGGACGCGCCCGACGCCGTCTGCGGCGAAGGCGTGCATCGCTGGGACACCGGACTGCACGCCTCCATTGCCGGCACCGTCTCGCTCGATCGCAGCTGCGAGCCGCCGCGGCTGTCCGTCTCCGCCCTCACCGCGCCCTCTGAGCCGGCGGCGGCGCCGCCGACGGTGGGTGACATCGTCACGTGCCGCGTGATTCGTATAAACCCACGCCTCGCGTCGCTCGAGATCCTCTGCGTCGCGGGCGTGCCGCTGCGCGAGCCGTGTGGAGGGCTGCTGCGGCGCGAGGACGTGCGCGAGTTTGAGCGCGACGCGGTGCTCATGCGCGACAGCTGCCGGCCGGGCGACATCGTCCAGGCGCGCGTGCTCTCGCTCGGCGACTCGCGCGCCTACTACGTGACCACCGCGTCGGAGGAGCTCGGCGTCGTCTTTGCGCGCTCCGCCGAGGACGGCTCGACGCTCCTCCCGCTGGCGTGGGACGAGATGCTCTGCCCAGCGACGCACGCGCGCGAGGCGAGAAAGGTGGCACGGCCGGCACGGCCGGCCTCCACGGCAGTGTGAGGTTCCGAGATCGCCAGCGGCCAGGCCCGAGGCGGCGGCGGCAGGGTCCGTTGGCGTTCTGCAGCGCGCCATTCTGTTTTATTTTATGTGTCGATGCCGGTCAACGCAACACACACTGGGCGGCGGCATCACGGCCGGCGCCGTTTTCACCCGCGACGCATGGGTACCCTGGGCGGCGGCATCACACGGCAAAAGTGGAAGCGTGGCCCGCGTGTGCCGCCAACGGTATAAACAGACGCGCGGTCATGGCCCCTCATGGCGTCATGCGTCGCCTCAGCGGCTATCGGAGCCGCACCCCTTCCCTCACTCCGCGGGCACCTCGCTCTCATCCTCCAGCTCCTCATCCGAGTCTCCGCCCTCCGCGAGCTCGCCCTTGCTCGCGCGCTTGCGCCCCTCCTTGAGATCAATCCGCTTCTCCTTGTACTTCCGCAGCGACCGCGTCAGCGTGTCCGCCAGCTCGTCGATCGACGCGTACATGTCCTCTCCCTCTGCCTTTGCGTTGATCACGTGCTTGTCAACACAGTACACCGTCGCCTCCGCGATGTGCGCCTCCTTACCCTTGTGCTCCGTATCGTGGAGAGCCCTCGACTCGACCTTCAGGTGCAGCATCAGGTCGTCGGTCAGCAGCGCGCCGAACGTCTCGAGCGGCTTCGCCAGCTTCTTGTCGGCGAACGAGCTGATGCTGTCGGTGATCTCGAAGTTGCCGCTCACCTTGACCGCGTTCGTCTTGACGACATCCATGCTGACGCGTCCGCGGTAGACGACATCCATGCTGACGCTTCCGCGGTAGACGCGGGTGGGCGCGAGGAAGCCGAGGGCGGCGGCGGCGATCATATTTGTGACAGTGGCGGCGATCATCGCCGCACTCAAGCGTCAAGGTTGGGCACTGATGGCTCTCAGAAAAAATATTGGAAGGCTCCGACTCTCGTCTTTTAGTTGCCTATTGACCGCGAGGTGGCATGAAGGTCGCAGCGAGAATCTAAATTTCTTCCAAACCTCTTTTCTGGTACACCACGGAGGGTGAACCTACTTTTGGAGAAGGTAGGGATTGAGAGCAGTCTCGCTCTCAATCCTAGAAGTCGAAGGATTGTGAGCAGCACTCCTCGCAATCGGTAGCATCTCAGGTCGACAGAACGCGCGCACAGATCACACGCCTTTTGTCCACCCGACGACACACCTTCGCCTCGCACGCCGCTCTAATGCGAGTGCGGTAGTAGGAGGGTATGACTCTGACCTGTTCCGACCCTGATCCGACCTCTCTCGAACACCGACCTGATCCGACCGTGTTCACTTCGAACACGGTCGGATCAGGGTCGGACCAGAGTCGGAACAAGGTCGGGAAAATCCCTCCCTCCCGCCGCCGCTGTGGCAGTCACCCTCCTACTCCCCTCCACGCCGCGCTAAGCCTTGGCCGCGGCCGGCGCGGGCTTGGCCGCGGCCGGCGCGGGCTTCTTGGCGGCGCGCGCCTCCGCGAGCGCCTCCTCCGCCTTCTTGAGGCGGCTCTCGAGGTCGGCCAGCTTCCGCTTGCCCGCCGCCTCGTCCGGCGCGGCCGGCAGCACCATCTGGAACTCCAGGTTGTCGATGTCCCCGAGCGTGGTCGCCTCATCGAAGGTGCCGGTCTCCGTCTCGCGCCGGAGGAAGTAGTTGACCTCGTGGGAGAAGCCCGGGATCTTCTTGACGACCTGGTCCATGATCTGTAGCAGTCGTGGGAGGTAATGAGTGGGAGGTCCGCCGATGGCTGCCAGTAGCGGGTGTTGGGGGGGAGAGATCCGGCCAGGGGCGGGAGCTGTGTCGCGCGCACCTTGGCGAGGTCGTTGGGGTGGACGATGTACCCCCTGATCTGGTACTGCACGTTCGACCAGCCCGGAGCGCGCTTATAGTTCTTGTTGGGCCGCTCCGTCTCCTGCTTGTCCGTCCACGTCTGGCCCTGAAAGTCGAGAATCCGCTTCCGCGTCACATGCTGCGGCAGGTACGTGTTGATGCACCCCCACGTGTCGGCCATCTCGAACATGCGGCCTGGAGCGCGTCCTACTCCGACGGGAACTGGGGATTAGGACGGGCCCAGATGGGGAAGGGGAGGGGGGGAGGCTCACACCCGCAGCTCCTTGTCGTAGCCCATGTCGACGAGGGCGACGCCGGTCAGCATGACGGTCACGCTCACTTGGACCTGAAGGAGGCGCGACGCGGGGCCAGGAAGGTGAGAGAGGGCGGCCGTGTAGCGGGAGCGCACCTCCTCGACGATCGTCTCGCCGAACTTGGAGTCGTTGACCTTCTTGGACGCCTTGCTGCCCGGCGTCTGCTTGCCGCCCGGCGTCTCCACCATTTCGCCCTGTGTGGACAGAGGTGCGTGCGGCGATTCAGGAGTGCCTGGGACGGAGGTGCAGTATGGGGGCTGCAGGGCTGCTCACGAAGTGCGCGCGTCCCTTCTGCGGGGTGCTTGCCATGGTGCTGCGGTGCCGAGCGGGGAGAGCGGAGGGTCCGTGCGGCTAGATTGGAATCGAGTTGAGACCGGCGGGCGGGGACACGAATGGGGGCCCTGGTCGTTTCCGCAGGCGAAAGGACAAGACGTGCTTTTAAAATATTGGAAGGCTCCGACTCTCGTCTTTTAGTTGCCTATTGACCGCGAGGTGGCATGAAGGTCGCAGCGAGAATCTGCGAGAGACTGCGAAGAGAGATAGGAAGAGGCGGACGCCCAAGGGTGGGCGACGGCTAGCGCATCACACCCCTCTCCTTAAAATCCCTGTGTGGTGGCGGCGTGCCGTCCTCCCATCCCTCCCTTGGGTTGTCCGTTTTCTTTCTTTCTTTCTTTCTTTTAGTTGCCTATTGCCACACCTCCACGCCTTGAAAAAAAGGAAGCCGTCGCAGCGGCAGGAGGGCACACCTTAAAATCCCTGTGGTGGCGGCGTGCCGTCCTCCCATCCCTCCCTTGGGTTGTCTGTTTTATTTCTTTCTTCTTTTAGGGCACACCGATGAAGAAGGCGGCGGGCCTGCCGAGCCCTGGATGTGCGGTTACTGATTGCACTCCAAGTACTCTAAGTTCAAGTGAGTCCGGTAAAGGACCATCGGCGCCTGCAAAAATAAATAAATAAAAACGGACGCACCTCTCTACTGTGAGATGGGTAAAAAGGAACAGGTCCCCCGCCCTTGCGATCTTTGTGCAGGGTTCTTTGTGGGTGTGGTCGGCGACTAGCCGGGGTCGTCCTCCCGGTGGGGCACTAGCACTAGCCGTCTTCCACATGGTCCCTCGGGTCCCTGCTACTCCTAACTAATCTCTTTTCGTACATCCCTCGTTCCTCCTCCTGCTGATCTCCGCGCAAGGGCCAAGGCGGCAAAGTCCTGCTCCCTCCCTCGTCTCGCTCTGCGCGAGCGAGGCAATCTTGGTTTTGAACGCACTGGGCCGACATTTGAAAGGCCGCAAATTTTGCAAACCCGCAAACCCGCACCCGCGCGCGCACCCCCACCGCCGCTGTGCGTCGTGCTCCGCAGCCTCAGGGTCTGTCGCTCTCTCTGCCATGCTCGCGCGGCGGTCCCGCAGGAACCCGCGCCCTTGCCGCCCGGCCTGGGCTGGAGAGGCTCAGACCAGCATGATGCCGCGCTCCTCGCACACGGCCACCAGCTCAGGCTGCCTCTTGTTGTCCACGAAGAGCGTCTGCACGCGAGGGGAGGTGCGATGAGCATTGGGCGGGGGAGGGGCGTGTGGCGAGGGGGGGCGTCTCGCGCCTTCAAGCTCGGGGCGGCCCCCTCCTTGAGGGCGGCGGCCAGCGCCTTGCAGCCCTCGTCGCCAATCTTGTTGTTGTGGAGATAGAGCCTCTCGAGCCGCGGCGCTGCCCCGCTCGCGAGGACCTCCGCCAGCTTCGCCGCCTCCGCGTCGCCCCAGCCGAGGTCGGCGTAGTCCAGCTCGGTCGCCTTGCCAAACTGCTCCTTGAAGGCGGCCTCGTACAGCCGCTTCACCAGCGGCTTGTCGTCCTTGCCGTTGGTGAAGCTCTTCTTCTCCA